ACGCACGTGGCTATACATGTGATAAGACTACAACTCCAAAATCATGATTTGGAGATAGACTCCCCAGGATTCTGCATCATTTTTTCTAAATAAATGAAAAGTTCTTTTGCAGAATTTCTGCTCAGGAAGAGATTCAGTATTGAGTTTCTGCTGGAAACAATCTGACAGTCCTGCTTGTGTGCCAGGAGGAGCCTTTTGTGGAAGTACCAAGAACTAAATCATTGATCTGGAAATGCTGTGAGTCACCCATTCACGATTCCAGCCCAGAGAATCTTGAAATGCTCTTACCCCCGGTGTTTGAAGTGATGCTATTCTGAGGCTGTGCTTCAGCATGAAATGTACGATAAATCACAAATTTAATTTATATTCTTGGAAAGAGATGTTTACACTTTACAGTCAGTTCATGCTTCAGTGCAAATTGTTGAGTTTTTGAAAAATGTAAACGAACTTGGAGCTTTTCTTGGAGTGGAGCGTTTGCCATCCTGAACATATGGTTCATTAAGGCTTCAGCAACTGTTTACTGTGGTTAAAAACAGGGCTATGGGAATTCTAAGAAGCAATGCAGTAAGATCAGAGCTTTTAAGTCAGAAGGCCCTGAAGCCAAGGCCATCTTGCTCTTCCCAGTGCATCCCTACCTTCTGTGAAGATCTGTATAATGTTTTGCATGTTGTTTTTGAAATATATTTATATTCTGATTGTTGAGCCAGGCATATTAATATGATTGTTTTATGTACAAGTGTTATGATGAAAAATCAGTGTGCGTGAAACTAGTTAGGAACTGGCATTAGTCCTCTTCATTGTATACCCAGGCCTGGTCGTCGTACTTGAAGGAACCAGTTCATTAACCAAATTAAACCTTTAGGCAACATTTGAAGTAAATGGGGAAACTTGTATTGATTTTGATAGGGTGATGAAGCTAGCTCTAGATAGCTTACAATCTATAAATAGCTCATTAAGAGAAGGGGGAAAGAGGGAAGAGGTCAGGATGGAGGAAGACTGGGAAGAGCACTGTAAACCTTCTGGCTGTTCCTTATCCTTTCAGCAAAGCAATTGGGAGTGGCGTTGTCATATCTTTAAATTCCTAGAGAAGGTGAAGATTTCAAAGACTTAAAGTATTATTTACTGACAACAGAAATGAACTGGGAATATTTCTCTCTTCCCCAGGAGAATAAATATTCAGACAGCGTTTGCGATGAAATTATTTGAAATGTAAACCAAACACCAAAATAATCATTCTTAATTTCTTATGGATTTTAATCTTATATGTCCCTTTTTTCAATCTGTTTTCAACAGATTGACTTTTCCAGTGTTCTTCAGGGTACTTTTGTGTCACACCCTTAATAGTCAAGCTTCAGTGATATGCCCTGAGTTATACCAGATCCTCTCTACATTTGTAGAGCTCATCTAAATTGGGTAATAAAATTGTGGATCATAAGGAATATTAGATTATGTTCTTTGTTCATTTGTAGATTTTAGAATAAATAGAATCCTAGAGATTTTGGGGGTGGGGAATGTAAAAGCAACTTCTTTCGAGTCCTGGCAGAACACTTGGATCAAAATCCACAAGTTTGCAGGAAAATAAGTTATTTTTTGTGTAAATATTCAGTGAAGACTGCTTTAATCTGTTATTACAGTTAGTTTTGAAACACTGTGGGCCAACTAGAAGTCATGGCTCGACACTGAGATTATTGCATGTGATTTTAGAGCACGTTTATGGAGGAAGAAGTGTTCTCTTGACTTCTCAAAAAATAAATAACTAGCTTGGGCTGTATAAATATCATTTATCATCTATAAATGATAAAGATGGTTACAGACCGGATTACCATTGTCCACAACACAGTTTTACTTCTAGGTGTACTTTACATTTTTAAAGTAAACTTGAGCTTTCTTGGTACAAACATGAGCCATGAAGGTACATAAATATTTCTGTTCTCCCTTCTCCTGCCTCATCCCCCCCTTTTTTCTATTTCAGTGTGTTTCTCCACCTAAAACTGACTGGTTTTAATATGACTTCTCTAGATACACTTAGCATATTTTAGAAGGCTTGGAGAGTGTTTTTCCAGAATCTGTGGTGAAGTGTGAACATATGCCTATCTCTTGACCTACTGTCTTTAATCCAGTAGTTTCATTTGATAATTTGCAGGCTTGTTTCCTTTCCCTGAGGGAAATGATTCACACAACTGTTTCACACAATGCAGTGTAATTGTTTTCTCCTACTGTGTCTCTGAAATAGTTTGCTTTTATGGATAAAGTACATACTTTGACACAGTATATGTGGTATATAAAATGTTCTTTCTGACTGTCTGTCTCAAGTATATTGTGCATTTAGATGAAACACTATTTTTGTTTCCCCTTTCTGTGATCTGTCCTCTAAATTTTGACAGAAATTACTGTAGGCATTGTGCTGATATTTGTCTGATAGTTGTCTGTGGGTATAAAAGCAGTCGTCTTTGAATATTTAATTATCTAATGAGGAACTGAGCCATCAAAATGATCTGAGCAATGACCCAAAATACTACCCACTATTTATAGATTTGGAAGGTTGGAAGGTTATGCTTCTCTTCAAAGAGTATATAGTATGCAGGAAGATAGATTTTTTTTTTTTCCTAGGCAAAAAAAAAAAAAAAGAATGTATTGCAAAATAATAGATAAACTCGATTAAACTGCTATTTCATCTCATCCCACACCCTTCTGTGCTAATAACCTAAGCTAATAAGTAAGGTGTCATGGCACAAGAGTAATAAGAAACAGAGCAAGTTGGGCAACTTACCCGAGAAGTATTCCTTGTCTTTGTCAGTGGGAAGCATGGGGACTTTATCTAGAAGCTGTTGGGGGATTACAGAGCATAATAGCAATTGAAGGACATTATTCCATGAATTTGGCATTCTCTTTTAACATATTAATGTCCTTCCATCTTCCACAATCTCCACAATTTATACTTAGTATGAAAAATACTTTGAGTTACAACCTGTATTTGTTTTTAAATCTACTGCTAGTTAATTTTGCTGGCTAGCTTAACTACCCTGTTCATATTTTTCACACTATTTATAGATTTTCTTTTCTCACCAGAAGAATCCTAGGCAATGCATTGATCAAAGTGAAGATCATCAATACTTACTAAGTTCAGTACATGTCATTTTCCGTAAGCTTAATGTAGCCATGCCTTGTCCTAACTAAAAATTTGGTCTCTAAAGACATGGTGAAAGAGAAAGTTGTGTTGGTGTGGATGAAGTTGAATTAATGTCCCAGCATGACTGATGAGATTAGCAATAAATATGCCGTTTTCTAGCTGGAGTCTTGATCGTTGGTCACCTGATCTGTAAAGATGTCCTCATACCCTTTGATAGATTGGCAGTTTCATTCCCAAGATTTTGGCTAAATTCTAGCTTATCTAGAATTTCATCCTCCTTATCCAGTTGTCACGTATTCTTCACTTTCTATTCTAAAGCATTTATTTGTATGGGGGAGCTCAGCACAATTAGCATGCTATAATCCTAAGGCAGCTGAATTGATGGGTGCAGGAGTTCTACCATGTAGGTAATAAAGCACACTTTCACTGGGGGAGAAGACAGATTTTTAGATAAAATTAATGTTGTTGTTGCTATTGAATGAGGTTCTCACAAAAGGAATTATGCTATCATCAAGATAAAATGAATTATGACTCGAGAGATTAGTATTTTAATTATTAACTTAATTCATTACAAAATATAAAATTCATAAAGGTTTGGCCTAAAAGGTATTCCAGACCATTACACTGCTTCTTACAGAATACCCTTCATAACACCCTTTTACTCTAAATGTAAGGAACAACTTGAAAATTGATTATTTTTTTTTCTATGTGTTTCAGCAACATCTGGTAAAGGAAAAGCTGTAATAGCTGACCTTTTCACAAGAAATGGGACATACAGAAATTAGAATGTGATGGTAGCGATCATAATTTTCAGCAAAACCTTTGTCGATTGCTTGAGAAAAAAACTTTAATCAGTAGAAAAGAAATTACTTCTGCAAACATATAGGTAGTGATACGCTATACTAATGATTAGGCAGCTCAAGTATGATGAGACTGTTCCCCTCTTTTGGTGAGGGGAGGGTTGTTTGTTTACTTGCCTCTGTTTTGAAACCAAAAAAGTGTTTTTTGTTAAAGGGATATAGACAACAAATGCTATGCCTTCTGAGATTGCAATAAGGATCTGTTAATTTTTCTTTCCAATATTATAAAGCATATATTTTAAAAATTAATTTCAAAGTGCATATTAAGATAAAATTCTGATCTTTTTGAAATTACATGGGCATTCTACTAAGGAGCTGAATGGAGAAGGACATTAGTCCTTAATTCTGCAAGTATCTAGGTTTTGGAACCTTTTTGAGTTTCTGCACTAATCCATTGGATACAGTTTTGAAAATGGAATTTTTCCAGATCAGAGACTTGTGATTTTTACCATCCACTTGGGTGCTGAACAGACAAGTGGAATGAGATTGAACTAACCTGATGAAATGCCTAAAATGAAAGAGTAATCATGCCAGGATTCCTTTGGAATTACTAGAGGGAGAAATCTAACGCAGCCTCTTGGAGGGGCTCATCTGTTATAGAGCTTAATGTGACTGTGTGCCCAGCCAGAGCCTGTTAACTGATGGGACTGAATTTGTGGGAAGATGAAGAATGTACTTGGATACTTCAGGCAGGACAGTCCCTACATTTTATTGGGACTGTGAATACTTAAAATACTTGGAAATACACTTAACTTTCTGATGGTGTTTAGTCCAAAAGAGGTCATTCATTAGATTTTGCCATAAACAGTGAAGTCATTACAAGATGAGCATCTGAATATGTAGTTTTCTGTAAAGATATACTCTCAGTTTCTGAGCTGTAGTACTTATTTAAATCTGAGAAACTACAATGCCTGTATAATGTTAGTGAAGATCTCACATTCAAAGTATGTATTGCGCATGTGTTAACATTTCTCAGAGGTCAGGGTGAAATATTTGAATCTGAGGTATTCAAGAGAGATACCGACTGATAAATAACACAAACAACATTAAACCCTAGGCTGGTGAGAAGGAAGGTGGGAGAAAATGCATTTCTCAGCTTCTGGTAGGTACAGTGCCTGAGGCTGAGAGCTGAAAGCAGTAAGTACAGACTTAAGTAATATTTTATATATAATAATATTGTCACTAGTTGAAGTAGGTTCTTTATTACATTAGTATTCTGGATCTTCTGCACTTCCTTTGTGGAGGAATTGTTCTCTAACTTCAGCAGCAGATTTCTAGCTCTAAGCCTGATACAAAGGGAATACAAGGGAGAACCTTCTATTTACTGCATTCTCTGCTGCTGGAAAGCCAGCAGAGGGAACTTAAGTAACAAACCCTCTTCCCAGCGCTTATTAATAATACAAAAGTACATAAACAAATCAACAAAACTCTGCCATGATAGTCTATTCCCTATGGGAAACAGGAGGGGGGGGAAAAAAGTCAGTAGTTGTTGAATGGAAAAAGATAAAGTCAGTACGGAAAGGAAATTTTTCTTCTAGTAGTTGAGTTCACTAAAATTACCAGCAAAAAATTAGTATCTTAAAATCCAGGAGTCTATCAAATTTGTAGAGGAAAAAATGGTATCACTATGGCTTTAGTTTTTCTCCATACCTAAGAAACTTACTGAGTTTGGCTTTTTGTTTTTTAAGCGACTGTTCAGATTTTTAAAAAGTAAAGTGCTGCTCACTTTTCTTGCTTTGCATACCGTTGGCTTACAGGTGCTGGGACTTCAGCAAAAATACTCAGTGTTTTCATTGATCTTTCTAATGCAGTACAATAAAATCCAAGGAAGTCCTAAGTCCTTCTATCTCTTTACCTATCTCAGCAGTGCAGTCAATGCTGTAGAAAGTAAGAGATGAACAAGCAGGAAAGCTTACATCTCTCTTTAAAGGAGCTACATGAGGTTACCCAGTATCTGACTTTTCCAACTAGAGCAAACAAATACTCCAAATATGCTCCAGATGAGAAGTGCTCCAGGATCACTTCTCATCTGAGTGGCAGAACTAGGAGAATGCTAGTTCGATTAGCTTAGCTTCCTATGCCAGCCTGGGGAGCCTAATGCACTTCTTGCAAATGTAATGAGCATAGCATCTTAACATTTCAAGGGTATAAATTGTTGGCATCCTTGGGGAAGATAATTTTGGGAAAGGATTCAAAGGTCTGGAAGAGACATGAAAAGAAGCCATAGGAGTGTCCTTAGATGTTTGGTTTTTATTTTCATTTTTATGCTGAATATTTATAGCAGTATTTCTGTTGTAGAAAGGTTGGGTTTTATTTAAATTATGATATCAAAGATTTACTTAAGATGTGATGTCTTTCTAGAAAGACTATCTAAGAATTTTGTAATGTCAAATTCTGCTGTTAAAACCCATTATCGATTGTACGCTGACCAGTAAGCACTCTGTAAAAAGGTGTTTTCCCTCCTAATTTTTCACTTGAAACATCTTTTTAGAGAACAGTTACTGAAACAGGTGTCAGTGTTCTACAGACTTGTTGGATGTGTGGTTAATTTACAGCTCCACACAAATTTATTTCATATCGCCACTTCTAAGTGCCTAGTTTGGGGATGGTCTGCTTGTGTAAGCCTATCAAGTTATGCACACTGTTTTTTGTTTTTATTTCTATAAATAAATTTGTTTTATGGCTTTGATAACAGGAAGCTAGACCCCTCAATAAAATTTTGCTGAGTTTCTTTCCTCTTCTATGGGTCAATACACCACTTGGCTGCCTGCCTTTTAGCAGCCAAGCAATCAATTCCCTTAAGAAAAGACAGACTGATTTCCAACTTGCTGTGTACTTAATAATAGGCTCAGTTCATTCCATTGTCAAAATGATTTTATTTTGCTGAGATAATCTCTTTCCAGTAGTCCTAAAGTGTCATCTTGTGGTTGGTACTGGTTATGATTTTATATCATCAAGAGAAAATGTACCTAATCACCAAAACCAGGAAATCTAAGTTCTCCTGGATATTAGTAAGGTTAAACTGGGGAGTCAAGATTTAAGAGACTGCATCATTGGGGGTTTACTTTAGAAATACCTAATGATAGGTAAAACCAAAAATGTACTAAGAAGTTCATAATTCATTTGGAAGGTCCTGATAAACTTTATGTGGTTAAATGTCTTCATACAGTGTGAGGATGCATTAAAAAATGTAGTAATGAATTATTAGGTCTTCAAAATGCTCATTGGGTTGGTATGTAATACATCTTAATTTCAAACTTTAATGAAACAAACAGAATTGAAATATCATCAGAATTGAAATAATTAAACTATCACGCTGGTCCCAGGGTAACAGAGCTCAAATATAAACTGGCTTAAATTAGCACAGAGCATCTCGGCTTGCTCAGCTATGCCGTCAATCTGATGTTCCTTCTGAGGGCAGTAAAAAGCCAGTTTGAGTATTTCGAGACTGAATAGCCTACAGCATCTTGCATCAAGCAAAGGAATCCAAATCTTCTAGAGGGATTTCCTCTGGGAGCTTTGAAAAATGGTGTTGGGAGGAGCTTTGGCTGTTGCAATATTTGTCTCAACATTTTTGCTATGGCAGTTTGTTGCTATTTTAAATTATTTTGGATTGATATATTTACTAGGAACAGAAACAATTTTGACATTTAGCTTTTACAGTGTAAGGCTTTTTGATAAATTTAAAATTGTCCTAATTCCAATTCAGAACTTTGCCAGACTCTGGAATTTGCTTTTTTAAATCATTTAGATAAGAACTGTCTGTTCTGTACACTTGCATATAAAGCATTCACTGGTATTATAGCACCTAGATTGTGTTTTTTTTTCCATATTTGTGAGATTCTTCTTGTCAAAGACGTTTATGCTTCCTGCAAAATTGTACAGTACCCAAAACTATTTTCAAACAAGCAAGATGAAATTTCATCTCACTCAAATGCAAAACAGTCCATTTGACCTCAAATGTAGCATTTTATTTTCAGGCACTTGTAATTTTTTCATGTTTTTCTCCTTTTTTTTTAGATGCAAAGAATAAATGATTTTATTCATAGGAACGAAGTTAGTTTCTACTTCTACAACAATTCTAGCGTTACAGCTTCTGTACCAAATGAGAGCAATCCAACTTCAATTTTAATTACTTAAGGATTTGCAAAATTTTCTCTTTGCTCCAGTGTAGTTCTCAGACTGAGTTATTTTGGACTTCAGGAATTATGATAGTTTTGTGCCCACTCTCTTCTACTGGGAATGTGTCACTTCCTGGGGTCAGAAACATGACTCAATTTCCTATCTGACATGTAACTGACCCAAATATTGGGACAGGGAACCATGCATGTACTCCCTGCCCCAAAGCACTTGAGATCTATACCCAGTTGCAAAATGGGCAGTGTAATCAGTGTAATAACACAGACAAGTTGGTTCTTATGAGAAAAGAGCTGCTAAAGAAAATAAATTTCTGCTACGAACACCCAACACTTTTCCTTAAAACAAACTCATGTGTAATATTTTCTACTTCAGAAGTACATTTTTGAGTTGCAAGCCATGAATTAGCTAGCAAAGGTATCCACTATAGTGTTAACTCCAATGAATTCTGTTTCTGAAGTACTGCTAAAGGAAATAGGTATTGATTAAAGATATTGATTTCTGACAAAATGGAGAACTCATCTCATTGCTGAATTTTGAATCTTACACTTTAAATAAGAAGACTTGATAGTGGTTGCTAAACCTATTGTTTGTATTGCAGAGGTATCCAGAATCCCAAATTGAAATGTTCCACTGAACAAATACACATTAAAAATGTTTTTAAAATATATATTTAAAAAAAAAAAAAAATCACCAGTAGAAAGAGAGAATGGAATGAAATCTAAAACTACCTGTTTCATGGATTAAACCTATTCTTTGATTTGTGAGAACATTTGGATCTTTGTCTCCAAAGGCTAAAAATTCCTGGGTCAACTGTGATTGTGCAAGAGCCACTAAAAAGATGACCTTGGCTTTCTCTGGAGATGATCATTCCAATGCTTAATCATATCCTGCCTGCTTTAATATTTCTTTCTAGTTAAGATTCTCTGGCTCCTTTATATGTGGAAAAAAAAATGTATATTTATACTATCTTTTATGGTCTGGTTATTGAGAAACTGTCAAAACCTCATAATTACATGTCACTGTTTCTTAAGTCCACTAAAATTCGTCAGAGAACATGTAATGTTTTATGTTGTGTTTTTGTTTTTTTTTTTTTTCTAATTGAGCCTGACCCAGGCACAAGATCTGATTTCATGACAGAAGACAAGTAATTTGCAAATCCTTCAGGCATGATTACACAGTTACTTTCTAGGATTAATTACTGCAACTGTTTTCTCATTGCCCTCCATAACCCTGACACTCTTTTACAGTTTCCATAAGTGACACAGAATTCTGTTCCTAGACTATTTTACTCTTGTATTACTAGGTTATCACCATGTTTGCCCACACAGCAAATATTTTGTTAACATCTGTATCATGTTGCATGTAATATGGAATTTGTAAAATGATATCCTGTGCAGAAGCTTCCTGTGTTCTTTATGCTTGCCTGTATCTTTCTGGTTATTGGTGCTCTTTTCCCTGTTTTCCCTGTCATCCCTGCGTATTATGTGGAGTTTTGCAGGTTAGTTGATATATGCTGTTTATGTTCTGTTACAAATGTGATCAGATGTTGTCAGGTCTGACCTAATACTAAGTCAATGAGAAGATGTACGCTGACTACAGCTCCTTCCGTTCTGTATGTATCTGAATTCCTGTTTTAAGTGCTTATAATATAATGCTTGGAACAGTATATCTTAGACCAGAGACATTGATATCTTGTGGAGGGAAAAAAAAAAATCATGGTGGGCTACTTAAAAGGCAGCCTAGCTTGCTGCAGAGAGGCATTAATGCTATTTTAACTTAAATGTGCCAAATTCCTGAAGGAATTTGAAGGAATTCCAATATGACATAATTGTTCATGTATTCAGAGTAGGTAAGGAAGCTTGAGTCGAGCTCATATTGTCAACATTCCTTATGCTCAACTCTGGTACAAGTTCTGTGCCAGTTATTTATTGCAATAAAGCTAATGAGATTAATGTTTTTATTTCTTTTATGATGAAAATATTCTTCAATATCTCTGAATAATTCTGTGGTTTAAATAATGAGGTATAGTTAGTGGTCTCAAAGACGTCTTGCTGCTGATTGTGGAGAATCCATTCATTGTTGGATGCTAACTCTTAGTTTTTCTGTCTTTCAGATAACCTAGAAATACATCAGATGTTTTTCTTCAGTGTCAGCAATTGCTGTGGCTGTTACAGGATTGTTAGTTAAATATTTGCAAAACTGGAACAGAGTTATAGTTTAAAACAATAGTGAAATTGAATGTCTAACCTTTTTTATCGCTGTCTCTCATTCTGTGCAGAGAGCAAGGATCATCATTGACCAAAGGATGGACCGTAATTTGAAATACAGGTATGTTCGTATGTTCAATCACCTTCTCAAAACATGAAGATGTGTGACAAGTGCCTGAAAATAGTCTGCTATTCATATTTTTCTGCATACACAGAAGTGAAAACTGTGTTTGACCTGCAGTAGTGAGTTTACCAGGGAATGCAATTCATCTGTCAAGTTATTCATAAGGGTTCTATCAAAACTATGAGATAAAGCTTGACACATGTTATGTAGGTTTGTGTGTTTCTCTCCAGTAGTCCCAGCTGAATGCAAATATCTCCTATTTCATTGTCCCTGCACTCTGCAGAGATACATTATTATTTCTACACATGTTAAAATGCATCATGAGTTTGGGTGGCTCTGCCATCAATTCCAGTTCAGCCTTTTTGAGTTTTACTTAACATAGTGCCTTTGAAAACAAAACCTAATATATAAACAAAATCCAGCCCTGCTACTTCACTTTGAATTCCCTCTTATAACTTAGTATTAGTACACTATTAAAAAGTAATGCTTCATTTTGGTCCTAACACATAGCAAGTGTGATGCATTTTCTTTGCTTTCTTAACGTATGTAAAACAAAACAGGAATTGTTGATTTTTTAAGTAATTTTCATTGGGACAAAGTGATTTGTGTATATAATTTTGTTTCCTTTCACTTGCTGAAAAATGTGTAAACCTGCACCTCTAAAAACATTCATCAGGCCTTTCTTTTGCAAAATCAAATTATGGTGTCATCTCTGTTTTCAGACTGGTAAGATAAACGAAATTGAAATTTACTTATTGAAAGTAAATTCTGATATAAATAGAAATTGAAATGTGTTACCATGTCTGGGTAAAGGCAAAGATACTTTCATTGTTTAATTTGAATTTACAGTTTGAAGGGGGGGGAGGCAACTTGTTGTTTTAATAATGAAATTGTAGGGTTTTTTTGTTTGTTTGTTTTCCCTTAGTCTATTAAATCTGTTACTAGCTGTTAAGCTGAATATTTTTCCAGAATTTTTATTTACACAAATTGCTATCCAAATAAAACAGGACTATTTGTGTATTCAAATATTTGTCACAATGCTCTGCAGATCTTTCTCCCTTCTAGCTATAGGCTGTGGTTGTCTCTGCTTTTAGCGGATCTATTTTTTACATGTGATTAACAAGGTATGTGAAGAAAAAGTTTGAAGTGAACAACTAAACTTAAGAAAATCTAGTTAATCTTCCCTATACTGCCTCACTCTGTATCAGTCTAATGGAAGCCACTCCAAAGAAATCTTCCCCAGGGCCTTGGAAAGTGCTTGATGTGAACGGCAAGGCATGCAAGTAATACATTGCTCAGTGATGTGTACTGCATGTAGGCTGTGGCCATTAAAAATGAGTAATCTCAGTATTTTATTTTTTCTTAAAAAAAGAATTGAAGCCTTTTTCTAAAATTGCAAGCAAATTGGTAATCATTTCTGATGCAGTTTCTTAGCCTGAAAACATAAAGGAGGCCTCCCTATCTGTCCTTATGAAGTAGTAATACTTTTGTGATATTTTCTTTGACCCAAAATCTGAAAGAAAAAAAAATAAAAAGAACAGACCAGATTCAACGTAAGTCATTTTGAGCTGAAGTATCAGCTCATTATCCACCTCATTTCTCCCTACCTAGTTTTCCTTGCTCCAGCATCAGCCTGCCATACATCAGTGTTGTGACTTTTCTGTGGGAACAATCTCTTCTCAGCGTAGGGAGGTCCCAGTAAAGCAGGGCAGTACAGCAAACGTTGTGCCATGCAGGGGTGTGCTGCATCTGATGGTCATCTAACAGGCAAATTCCCTGGACCTGACATCTAATGCCTGATCCTATCTCACTGGATGTTTCAAGCACTGCCATTGTAATAATCCCATGGCACTGCACTGAAGACTTGCATCAGCATGGAAGTAAGCTAGATGTCATATGTATCATCTCTCAGATGTTTTTCAGGCATTGGGCACACAGCTGACTGATTTGTTTGAAAATGTAGAGCTTTGTTCCTTGGCCTGATTTTCTTCAGTAGACCTCTGACAAAGGCCTTAATTCCCAAAATGGGAAAAGACTAGCAAAGGAGCCTTCTATATTGTATAAGAATTTTCTAGATGGAATCAAAAATACATTTCAGTACTGAACAATATAATAGGTATGAAAATCATATGAGGTTTGCATTAAAAAGGCTTTCTTCAAGGGTTACTCAACTATTTTTAACCTCTGTCTTCTATTTTAACTCCACCCCTTTAAAAGCTAAAGTAGCAATCACATTAGCTAACTGCCTGGTGGGATTTCTGGCCTTTGGCACGTTACTGTATGACTCGCTTTTACAGCGTGGTGCGAGTATTTTTAAATGAAGTAAGTCCCGAGAGTTAGGAAAGACAATAAACGTTCAATTTAAACTTTAAGAAAATGTGCTGCCAAGCATTAATAAAGCATTAGTTGGATATTACAGGGTCTTGATTTCATTTTCTCCTGGAAGATCTGTATACCTATGCACGGATGTTACCACTTCTGACTCTGAAGTGCTATCCCAGGCACCTGCGTCACTGAGCTGGGGGAGTGCACTGTAACAACCACCAAATTCCCTGAACATAATTCTCCTCCTGCAGTTTTAGTCTTTGTGAAATGACATGTAAATTATGCACGTGGACATGATTGTGATGGTTACATTATATGTTCCTAAAAGGGATAGCCAGCTCGATATCCTTTTGTACTTGACTGACACCATTTAGAAACTATCATTAGATGACTGTTAATTGGGTTTATTATATTTCCATTATCACAAAAAGATCTGAGCTATTATAGATGGATAGAACTAGCTCTGTTTCTAAGTAGAGCTATTTTTAATGAAGTCTTTTTCAACTTCTAGAAAGAAGTTCTGGAAAGAAAATGTATATACCAATCACTTCGAAGCCTGAAATGCTAAGATGTGATTAGCTTGAATGGTTGACTAGTCAAGATTTCTTCCCTTAGGGGAAAAACAGATCTGAGTAACAGGTACTAAGATTGCCTTTTATGAAGACTTCAGTTTATGGATATGTAGAGACAAAAATCCTTACAGAAATTAGTGCTTAGAAGATGAAGCATCTTCTTGTAGCTGGGTGATGACTGAAATGTTTGTTTCGTGCCTTGAATTTCCTTTTTGTCAAGGCCTTTTCTTAGGCTGTCAGATTATTTCTGATGTGCAATAAATTAATGACAGCTGTGACTAATGCTGGCTGATGCTATCTGTTTTGAGGACTTTTTAGCATTAATCTGTTAAAACCATCTTAGGAATATGTTCAAAATGCTGAGGATTTCCAGTCCATTCCTAACATGTAAATTTGTCATCCTCCTCTTTATCTCTAAGATCCTCAGGTAGATTCCTGGTTGTGGTTCACATACTGCATGTTTGGGACCCAAAAGCAACATATTCATAAATTCATTGTTCCTAATTAACACGAAATCACTGCAAAATTTCATGTGTTAAACCAGGCTTTCCACAAAATCAAGGTATTTCTGAACCAAGAGCTCCAAGTAAACAGTCACTGATAGTTTAGGGTGAATGACTTTAAAATGAATTATGTAGCAAAAAACTCCTTTTGCTGTCTTGCCTTTAACTTTTTTTAACGTTAAAGTTATAAACCCTGTGTGGGGATATGTGATAAGATTCTGAATGTCATTACTAATAGCATAACAATGTTAAAATTATTTATGTCAAGCAACACAAAATTAAGCAAGCTAGACCTTGAGTTCAAAGAGAAGAGGTGGTTTTAATGTAAATTAAAACAGATTCTTGCTGCCCACTAATCAAGTGTTTACCTGTTCCCATTAAAACTGCATTGAATTTAATCAGTATGCTTTCTAATGCATGCATTTCTTTCTAAATAAGAAGTGTATTTGTCATGAATATTTAAATTGGATTTTAAATCCATGAAAGTTTAATTTAAATAAAAAGTGGTGTTTTTCAGGGTTGAAAGTTTAGTGTCTTCAAATTCTATTCAACAGTTGTAAGCAAATTTTAAAGTTAGCAGTCTTGAGGGAATCAATCTTAGCATTTAGGATTAACTGTCTTTAATTGAAAGATGCTAAAATATAACTGCACATTTTATGTACTGTTACTTGTACATAAAACTTAAATATTTGTTTCTTATAGCTAAATGGAGCTAATGAATAATTCAGACATTAGAACAGTACAGGACATCTTAATGTAAAAATAGGTGTATGGCAATGACTTCTAAGACATGTTTTTGCAGTTTTCACTCTAACACTGAGGAAGATGTGGGAGTAATATTATTTATATAATATTCTGTCATGATATTCATAACTTTTCAACATATAAATGTAAACTCCAAGTTTATTTTTGTGATTCCTATTCTTATCACAGAATTTTTTATATTTACATTTCCAGTATATTTGTTTTGTAATGATAAACAATGGTATTTGCTAAGAAACTATACTAGAATAAATGTCCTTTAATTTTGCATGAAAAAGAATAACGCATTTGTCTAAAGCAAAAAAATCTCCTTCTTACCTATTAGTTAATTCAACTGGTCACTGTCAATCCTACAAAACAGGACATTTGTAGAGTCCTAATCTTCACTGTAGTTTGCATTTCATTTTATTGATAAATAATTCTATTCTTGCTAGAAACCCCTTTATTGTTCAAGATAGCTGTGCTCCAGGTATTTTTTTATTTTGCTATTACTGATTCAGATATTGGCTATTGATGGTTTCATATTATTCTAATGGATTGTTTTAAAGCAAGCACAGGCAATTGGGGCTTGAACTGTATATTTGATTCAAGTGATCTAAACAAAATAGATCAGTGTTGAAAATTATCATATTTTTGCTGTATAAATTACTGAATCAATGTCACATCTTAAAAGACAACTGTAATAGATACGACCATAAAATATGTATAAGTCTTAGTCAACTGAAGTCCTACACTAACTTGAACATGGTACAAGTCCAGTGAGATATGGGACAACTTATTTGGATGGGGTTTATCCTTAATGCTGACAACAGTAAAAGCAGCAAGGACCTGAGTC